CCACTTGATCTGACCAAAACAGTTGGCATCATCCTTGATTCCTCTTCTCTCTGACATCACACATCTGATCCCTCAGCAAATTCCACTGGTTCTAGTTCTACCCTCAAAATATACACAAAATCTGATCTCATCTCAGCATCTCTTCCCCTAGGTAGACATATAGCTCCCTCACCTCCTTGAGGTCTTTGCTTAAATGTCACTAAGTGAACTGAAGCCTTCCTTCATCATCCTATTTTCAACTGCAAGCTCCAGCTCCTGCCTAGCACTAGCACTCCCTGTCCCCTGTCCCTGCATTATCTACTCCATTGCATTTTTCTGACATATTAGATATTTTACTCACTTATTTAAATTTTGTCTTTGTCCCTTCCCTCCATAAATGTAAACTCCAAGTCTTTTATAAACTTGCTGTATCCCCAGAGCCTAGAACAATGCCTAGAAGAATGCCTATAGAAGACACTCATGCTGGTCCCATAAAAAACCTGATTTGCAAAAATATTTCAGAAGAATAAAGTTGTTATAAATTTACTTGATAAGTTTGGTGTTTCAATATCATTTGTTATATTGCAGGTTTTCCTGCAGATACTCCTTGTAAGAAGTGAAATGAAATACTAATATTCTGGCAATACTTACAATGCTACAAAATTTCACGTATCTTTTATTTCAGAATTCTTTTATCAACTATTTCAGAACTACCACATTAGGAACCTGCAATACTGTTTCATTTTAACTTGCTCTTCCACACAAGAAGTGAATACTTACTTGACTATGCCATATCCCAGACTGACTATTATAACCAGTGTTCGAGCCAGTGAGCGTTTCACTGCTGAAAGCAGCTCTGCAAGGATCAAGGCACCTTGGACTTGAGAATGAAGACAGGAAGAAGAAAGGAAGAAATGACACAATTATCTAGATTAGGCAACAGGCATGATTCCAGTTCCAGAATGCAGCTCTCTAACATTCTCCAGAATGAGCATTGGTATTAGTCCTACTAAAATAGAAAAACTCTTCTGCAATTTTTACAAATATACAAAGTGATATCACTTGCAATCTTACTCATGGGTATATAGGGCAATAGAGGTGTACTCAACTCAGCTTCCTCCCCTACCCACTGCCAATTTCACTAAAACCATGACAGAATACCCCACCCTACCTATATGAACAGTTTGTAGCAGCAAGGAAATTCTACCCCACCACCACCACCACCATTTTCAAAAATTATGAAATATAGCTACACAAAAGAAAAGTGCAAAATACACTCATATGCACACACATGTAGGACCATACAGTTTTCAATTCATTTTTACATCTACTATTTTCAAGACTTTTCAAAGACCAACGAAAGATCTAATTAGTATATCTTGCAACAATTATTACTAATCAAATAGTCTGGTAAGAGAATTGATCACAAAAAACCTCAGCATAAAACAATTTATTACCAGTTCACCTTACTAAACCGTAAGCACCCTCCTATTTTCTTGATATTACTAACATCAATTCTTAGATGCATTTTATCCCACATTTTAACATCTCTGAAATCAAGGTGTGTCTTACAATCAATTCCATCTTACAATTAAATTGGCACTGTTTACCTTCTTTCTTAGATGTATATTATAATGGTGACATAGAAATCAATGGCAATTGAGATTTGGTGATGGTAATAATCATTCCCAATATAGTCTATAATTACAACTTTTGTGAGGGTATTTCAGTAAAATTACTCACATCACTGAATCCATAAATTGTGAGATTAAAAATAAAAGTCACAATTACAGTGATTCTGCTTAAGTTAGTCTAAAAATTAAGTAATTGGAAAATTAGACCTGTTTAATGACTGCTGACCTTAGGAAAATCTTCACATCTCTCACCTGCCAATCACTCAAATTGATAAATATTTTTTGGTTACATACCAGATTCTCCTTTGTACCGAATATTCTGAAATTCTGCATAGAAGACAGCCTTCTCAAGCATTCCCAGGAAGATGACAGCACCAATCCAAAACTGAATTCTCAGGAGATCTCTCCAGTAGCAGGCAGACCATGCCAGCCACAGAACACCAAATAGGACATATACAATACACATCACCATAAAAAACTGTCATAAAATTGAATAAGAGATAAAAAGAAGAATTAGGGCTAAGAGTCAAGTATCTAGATTTAGAATCAACATATAGTTTTAACAAACTACAAAAATATACATATTCTACCTTCTATTTAAAAATAATTTTCTTTGTAGTTTAATACTAACAGGAAAGAATTATCTCCCCTTGAGCACAGGAAGATGATGTAAGAATTTCTCAAAAGTGACTGTTTTTCCGTATTAAAAGAGCTTTCTCGGCTCATAATCTAAAGTTATATAAATGAAGACAACACCGAAGAGGAAAAAAGGCATGACTGGGTGAGGATACATCTAGAGGCAAGGAAATATGACAAAATGGGAAAACTAATAAAGGGGAAGGAAGAAGAAAATAATCACGAACAAAGGAAGTCTGAAAATAGATTAAGGATATTCTCAGACACAGGTGCATGCACACATACTCAGGCACACACAATGAAGAGTAGGAAGTTTCATCATGTGGTTACTGTAAGTGGGATCAGAAATGACAGGGTTGTAGTAAGAAATGCCCCGCTATGGATCCTAGAGAGAATGAGATGTCAGACAATCTTTGAAGTACTTCCCAAGTCTAAAATCCACAGATTATTGACTCCTTCGTTTTACAAATAAGAAAATAAGGTATACAAGGGTACACTGACCCTCCCAAAGTCTCAGTCTAATAAGAAATAAATCTAGAATTGTAAGCAACATTTTCTTAACTATGTAGGTATAAATCTTTGAAAAAAGAATACTGCCACAAAACACGGACAATCTTTCAAGCTAAACTCATTCAATGTTGAGGGTAAAGAATAAAAGGTCACTTACAATCATCAAGGGATAGTCTTCAAGCGTGAGGTATTCATAGGGACCCTTCACTTCAACAGTCACTGTCAAAACACAGTCCTTAGAATTAATTTAATGTATACAGAAATTAAACAAAAACACTGTCTAATGTTCAATGAAATTAATGAAAAGTTCACTGGATCATTTACTTTTAACCACTTCAATCCTGGTGCATATTACATTGTACAGCACTTTGAAATTCATTAAGTATTCTCATAGTTCATGCTGTGTCCTGCACAGGCTTCCACGGCTCTGTTCCAGTCTGAAGTGGGAAAGCCCTTTTGTTCCCATTCTTACATTCCTTAAAGACTAGACTGAATGATATTTCCTCCATAAAGCCTTCTCTAGCTGTCCATTTGGAACTACTCATCATGTACTATAAATTCCAAATACATTTCATATATACTTCTTCTTACAAAACATCACTAATATGTTTTACAGGACTTCCTTTCTTCATTCTACCACCTTCTGTATTTTCTCTCCTTCCTTACCTATATTTTCCTAATGCTTTATTATTTTTCTACCAACTACAATTTTATGTGATCTTGACACATTACTGCATCATTTTCAGAAGAAGATATAAAAAAACAGAAATTCATATTAACCACACAGATGATGCACAGGGTTGCATTTATTTTTCCCTGATAAAATAAGGTGGAAAACAATCCAGCTTCCTAATCATGTACCCTAGAGCCTCACTCCAAACTGAAAATAATAACTCAAAATTTCAGATGGAAGCAAAGCACCATCCCATAAACATAGAACTGAACTTTCCCAAAACTTGCTAGTTAACATTTTTTCCAAAAACTTTGTTAATAATTACAAAGTGTTTAATGAAGCAGAAAAAGTGATAGTAACAGCATGAATCTGAAAGACATATCTGCCTCACTGAAGCAAACCTACTATTTTAAGATGGTCTGTAATTGAAAAACTATTTTCAGATTGACTATTTTAAGACTAACTGACAATGAGCTAGATAAATTTTAAGTATGATTAATAAATAAAAATCTGATTTATCTGAGAAGTAATCATCTCCAGAGACAGATT